GGCAGTTCTCCCACCACACCAGAAGCCACCCAGAAAAGAGAGGAAGCCTGAATTATATAGGATGTGTTTTGTGTTTCCTTTCATACAATCCTAAGGTCATTACACCAGTGGGCTTTATGGCTCGAAGAAAATGAAATCACAGTGGACTTGCCTATTGCAGGGAAATGATCACCGCTGCCCTGTATTTACCAGGGGCAGTGAGTGATACTGTGAGCATGCTCATTCCTAATTTCTCCAGGGTTTAAGAGTTTCTTGCTCTCTATGGACTCCCAAATTGTGATAGCATGTCCCAGACTCTCTAACAGCAGCAGGAGCAAGGCTCCCGGCAGTCCAGTGTGGAGCTATCCCTATCCCCCAACCCTCATGATCTTAACAAGCAAAGACCCAGGGAGCTGTCAAACCCTTTAATCAGAATGAATGCTATCCATCTAATGGGACTGCACTTAATGTTCAAAACCCCTCTGATGAACAACAGAAGCAGTAACAGTATGTGGCTAAAGAGTGCCATCAGCTGGGCAGATCTGGGAAGGATGAAATGATTGTGCAATTTTGGCTTCTGGAGCAAATGGAAACAAAAATCAAAACACAGGTTACCAAGCCGGGTGTTCTTGGCTCAGTTCCATGTAAGAAAACAGAGGGAATCACTGTGGACAGCACTAAAATAGGGAACAGAAAGGAGCAAGGACACAACTGGATATTTGCTCCTAATCTCCAAAGCCAATGTGAAAGCAGGTGCCTTTCCCAACCTGCCCTAAAGCAAAGTTCGGATGCTGGACTGGAAAACAGCTGCTGCTGGTAACCCATCAGAAGCAAACAGTTCACACTAGCACACAGTGCTCCCCAAGTGACACAGAGGCACGTCAGTGAGCCCTATGCTTCCACCACCTTGGCAACCCAACAAGTCGCTGGAAGATGCAGGGAGGCAGTGATCATGAACAGTCTCCATGCTGTCCTAAATGATGCCAGAACACCTGCCCTAACTCAGGAGACAAAAGCAGGTTTACACTCCTCGCACTCTTTACCTGGAGCGAGGCTGTGGGTTCCAGACACCGATCCAGGCCGCTCTGCATAGGCAACAATTCACTTCTTTCCATTTTTGTCCTTTACTAACTAAATTAACAACACGCAGGTGAAGCAGGAGGCTTTATGTTACCTTTCTGCCACTTGATTCCGAGTCAGCTGTGGAAGTGGTCGGGCTGTGGTGTGAATCAGATTCTCGCAGTAACGCGTATCTGCACCAGCTTTCTGAGGGCTGCCGCAGTCTGTGTCACAGTCAGTGCTGCTCCTGCGACTGCTGTCCCCGCTGCACCCCCTGAGCCCACCTTGCGAGGGGTGGAACACTGGCCCTAAACTGTTTCTGAGCCCTGAGATTTGTGTGGCACCCTCTTGTAGCATCTTTGTCCCACCACAGCAGTGTGCTGCATATTAAATGCTGGATGTAGTCATACAGGCAGGTGGCTGTAGAACACAGTGCATACCTCAGAGGTATTATATTTCCATATTTTTTTCTTTTTAATAGTAGCAAGTACACATGGAAGTCTCCTCTTACCATCTTGCCACTGACTGTGGCCTCGAGGGAATCAACCAGCTCAGCAGTAACCCCGATGAGATTGTGATAGTCTGCCTGGATTTTATTAAAGCGTTTCACATAGGTCATGCTCCTGCGGTCAGCTTCCATGAGCTGCTGATGAAGCTGCTGCAACATTTCTATGAAGAGGTTGAAAAACAAAAATAAAAACCCTTAGTCTTCCAGGAAAAATAACACTGACAAAATCTGAAGCATGCTGGTAGGAGAATAGTTTGACCTGTTACTAGGGGGTTATTTTTTATTCACAAGGTGGACTTCAAATAAATTGTACCGAGGTCATGGCTTGGCTACTGGTTTGTCCCTGTTACGTTGCATCAGAGCTTAGCTGGGCCTATTCTTCTTGTCCTGTTTGCTCAATGAAACCACAATCACAAATGCTCCCATAGTTACAAACTGCATCACTGCAATTACCAGACTGTGGCAGGCTTGAAGATGCTGCTCAGCACAGAGGCCAGGATCTGGTTATATAAAAACCTCTAGCTTTTCAGACACAAAAAGTAAAAACCAGAAGAAAGTGCGTGATAAAAGTGAACATGTATTTGATTAAAGGGTCTTTGGCTATGACAACGTTTTGGACAATTTTGTATTTTGCATCTGTGCTCCAAGTCCTCCAATCCCACAGCAGAGGGAAGAGGTTTCCAGCTGGCTTTGCAGAATTACCACACTTCAACAGCATTTGGCCAGCACCCAGACCCTGTGTCCAGGGGTGAAAGAACTCAGAGCAGACTAATTACAGAACAATTTTTGAAGAATTGCCCTTCGCTGCCTTGTAACTAGACTACTACAATGCGCTCAAAGTCATCTGCAACAGCAGCAGATAAAACATTTTCACACAGAAGAGGGTTTTTTTCCATCCAAGTCAGAACTGTCACTTCAGAAACAAACCAGCAAAAGAGAAGAAGGTCACCGAGCCATTCACTCACAGACGGCCGTTCTGGTGCCTGGGGAGGTGTGCTATTAGTGGGAGAGTACCCTATAATAAAACTTGAGAGGACCGTTTTTGTACAAATGTGGTGATGCAGTACCTTTTGTGGCGGGGTAAATCCTAGGTGTTGTCCATTTTAGATTTAAAGAGCAAGAGTTAGCTAGTTCACGGGATTACAAAAGAATGCAATCTTAAATGTCCTAGGACAATTTCTAACCCAGTCTCCCACATGGCTGTGTCCACAGAACTTGACAAAATCCCCTAGAGCTGCCTGACTCCAGTGACCTCAGTTTTCTCCAGCGGTGGTAACTTCATCACATCCTTTGGCAAGCAATTCCATTGTTCGGCTGACTTGATTGGTAGCAAAACTGGTGAATTGAGAAAACGATGCCACTTTTCCTATACTGGCATGCCTTCTGCACCAAAAAGGATGCTAAGGCATGTTAATGAGTGACATATCCATACATGTTCTTTTCAATTAAGTTACTCTTTAGGTAAACAGCACCAAAATTCAGCCTTAACAAGGCTGCCACAAGCTTTCAAGCGCACTTCCTGTATCTCTGCCAGCAATCGTTATCACATTACTGACTACCAATAAGGGCATAAAATTGCAAACGCCACTTGGGAATTTACCATCCTGAGTCATAGTGAACGCTGCCACAAGCTGACAGAGGGACTGTGCAAGCACAGCTGGTTTATGGTCTTGCTAAGATTCTGTGTTAAAATAACTAGACGAAACTCCAACTTTATTCTGATGCTACAATGATACGATGGTTACTTATCTGTAAGAGGACAGAATCCCCTCTGTGGCACTTTCTGACATCCAAGTTTCAGAGACCCACTTTTTTTTACTACCGAAAAGCAGACAGAACTAGGACTCCTTATCCCCAGACGCCAGAGATTCATGGAGTGTCAGCAAAGTATTCAGGCCACACCAACGGATGCACAGGCAAAAAAGCACAAACAAATGATTAAAATACAAAATGGAGTCATAAGAATGACATCCTCTTCCTAGCTTTGTTCTGTGAGCCTGAGCAAATCTTTTTGACTCCTAATGCTGCTTTTCTCTCTGAAATGTGGCAGTTCCTCCCACCATCATAGAAATCTTAGACTCATAGAAAATGAGGGTTGAAGGGACCTCAGAAGGTCACATCTAGTTCAGCCCCCTGCTCCAAGCAGGACCAGCCCCAACTGCATCATCCCAACCAAGGCTTTGTCTACCCGTGTCTTCAAAACCTCCAAGGATGCAGAGTCCACCACCTCTCTGGGTAACCTGTTCCAAGGCTCTGCTACCCTCCTAGTGAGAAAGTTTTTCCTAATATCTAACTTATTTCTAAAGTGGTCTGAGATCCTCATTTGGAGGGTGCTATGTTAGTTCAAAAAATTTATTGCATGCTTCTGCTGCATACTTTAGATGCTCAGAAACTAATATTTTAGCTATGTACTTTTCCAGGGGTCTTGTGCAGTCAAGGACCAGTTATGTTGCAAGATGTTTTTTACCAAAAATGCCTGCTGGATTTCTGTAGAGTAACTTACTTTCTGGCAGATTGCTTCACCAAGCAATAAGCATGTGAATGTAAATCTGCCAAAAATAACAATATTCAAACTGAACTGTCTGTAACAACTTTCACTACCAATGAGAAAAATACAGGTTGCTTTATAGCAATATGAATTTTGATGCTAAGAATTGCTTACAACCTGTCATGTCCTGTATTTTTTAAAGTTTCAGAAACATGCTCAATTTCTAGCAGAAGGGCTATACTGAGCACAGCTGTTTGCTGGTTTGTTTGGTTTTTTAAACAGACTCCAGCAAATAATTTTAAAATTATGAGACAGAACTACATTTTTAATTAGTACAGTCCAAGCTTTTATGACACGTGAAAAAGCCATTTCAAACTGTCATGCTTCCACTTATCTGAAATATAATCATTTTAAGAAGACGCTTAAAAAATTTATCTATAGACAGGTGCGAAAACAGAGCCAGACCCTGCAGAGAAACTGCCTTTTCTGACTTCTAAGCTGTGTTTTTGGTGGCTTGTGAATAAAAGGACAATTATTTCACCCTCGCAGGGGGCGTCTAAGAGAGATGCTTACTGTGCAGTAGCTCATTATGACTGCGCACTGGGACACTATTGCGCAATAATGCCAGTTATGCAAGTCCTAAATGTCTTGTGTAGATGCACCCACCATCCTCCTCCTTTCTCCTTTAAAATGGTCTCTTTTTGAGAGTCACATATAATGAATTGCAGCATCCTGCATCTGCAGGAGTGGGGCTTTTTTTCTTCTGGAGACAGACAAAATCAGTGAGAAAGAATAACAGCTGAGCTTGGGACAGGTCATAGTTCATATCTATGTCTGGCAAAAAATATCTAAAGGGCCAACTTAATAGCTCCTCCTGATGGCAAACTCACTGAGAGAATCTAATCTCCCAGCTCCCCAGGCTGTAAATAGTCTGTTCTCTTTCATTTTTTTCTTTAATTTCACAGTTGTCAAAAGAATCATGAGAACTTTCATAAACAACTAAAAACATCTTTTCCCTGACACAAAAACATTTGGTCTTGATTTTGCTCTGACCCTTATGACTGCAAATGCAAAATGCGTACCAGGTTTCTAGACCACGCAACTACAAAATACAGTATTTTTTCCAAAATGGTAAAGATCCTGAGAACACGTGGCACAAAAACTTCTGCTCAGTACCCCAGTCCTTTTGCCATAATGACAAAACCGGAACATTCAATTATGATACGATAGGTCTAATTAAGGCAATGCCATCAAGAGCACTGGAAGTGGAGGAAAAATTAAAATGAGTCATGGAGAATAAATCCACTATTTCATCTGCTTTCCAAAGTTTGATGGGGGAACAAACACAGTCAGTAATGAGAATCGATCTTGCAGCTACATAGTTTGCAGGAGAATTGACACCTTTGAATGTTCAGGCACCCCACTAACTGCATGAAAGCGGGTCTCGGCATTTAAAACTGTCCACCTATGTATGACAGCTGCCCACTACAGGGCTCTTTAGTCACGAACAGTGATTCTTAATTAAAAAAACAGCCTTTAAAACAAAGGAAGCACGGTATCAATACCCTTTCCATTTGAAGGACCTCAAGTTGCAGCAAGGGAAGTTTAGGTTAGATTTTAAGAAGAACTTTCTCACTAGGAGGGTAGTAAAGCCCTAAACAGGCTACCCAGAGAGGTGGTGGGATCTCCATCCTTTGAGGCTTTTAAGACCCAGATAGACAAGCCTTGGCTGGGATGATGTAGTTGGGGCTGCTCCTGCTTTAAGCAGGGGGTTGGACTAGATGTGACCTCCTGAGCTCCCTTCCAACACTCATTTTCCATGATTTTATGTCACTCCTACACTCCTTCCTTGGTCAAATGATTGTTCTGGTAGAGTTCAGAGAAGAGCAGTACCCCATGCCTGGTAACCACATTGGTACATAAGCAAAGGAAGTTAGAGCATTCTTGAGCATTGTGCTTAGCATGTGGTCAACACTGGCCACATATTAAGTACTGTCAGTAGTGTTTGCAGTCTTTGTTGGGGGTCTACAGCCTCTTTCAGTCTGCAGAAAAGGACCCGGGGGGGGGGGTGACAGGGGACAATAAGAGGGATAGGAGCCAGCAGTGTGCCCTTGTTGCCAAGAAAGCTAATGTGGCTGCATTGGTAGGAGTGCTGCCAGCAGGTTAAGGCAAGCGAATCTTCCCCTCTATTCAGCACTAGTGAGGCCACATCACTACAGAAGGGATGTGGACAAGTTGGAGAGAGTCCAGGGAAAGGCAAGGAAAATGGTTCTTGGGCTGGGGGACATGACTTATAAGGAGAGGCTGAGGGAACTGGGATTATTTAGTTGGGAGAAGAGGAGACTGAGGGGGATTTGATAGCAGCCTTAAACTCCCTGCAGGGGCGTTGCAAAGAGGATGGGGCTGGACTGGTCTCAGTGGGGGCAGACGACAGGACAAGGAGCAATGGCCTCAAGTTGCAGCAAGGGAAGTTGAGGTTGGATATTAGGAAGAACTCTCTCATTAGAAGGGTAGTAAAACACTGGAACAGGTTACCCAGACAGGTGGTGCAAGCTCAATCCTTGGAGGTTTTCAAAGCCTGACTAGACAAAGCCTTGGCTGGGATGATGTAGCTGAGGCTGGTCCTGCTTGGAGCAGGGGGATGGACTAGATGTGACCACCTGAGGTCCCTTCCAGCCCTCATTTTCTATGACTCTATGATTCCGCCTATTCTTGCTTCTGGCAGGTTGTCTTAGCCATCTCTCTTCAGACTGATGATGGCTCATGATTTATTTGCACTTAATCTTAGCCAAAAGGCCAAGAAGCAAGAACCCACAGGAAAAAAAAAACAAAAACACACTGAAGTGCAAACCAATCCCTCCTGTTCACCATGCCTGAAGTATGCTAACATCCAAAATAATGCATCTTTGCCTGGGGATCTTACAATGAAGGACATCAGCTCTGAAAAGTCATTGTTTGTGCATGACCCACAGGAGACTGCAGCCTCAAACCTAGGCTAAGACTTTTAATAGACTAATAAGATTAATTAGTAACTACAATTACTAATTACAAATCTCAAAGGCCAAGAGTAAGACAGATACACGAGAATAAAATCGTGGAGTAATTGAGGAGAGTCATGTGCAATTCCAAACAGCCCTGGGGTTGTTTGCGCCCCCTTTGCTTTAGATACATCTGTGTCTTAAAATCTCACCCAATCAGTTACTGGAAGTGATACTGCAGAAATTACATTATTTATTATTCTTGTGCTGCTCTGTAGTGTACTCGCTCTTAGGCATGGACATCTGCTGAAAGGTTTCTTGTCTTTCAGGCTAGGGACACAAACATCTTTGGAGCCCTCCATGCTTCAGGTGCTTTAGCTCTATTTGGCACTACAGCTCCTTTTCTGATTGCCCCACAGGCTTCACATCAATGAACTAAAAACAATAGAGCCCGAGACAAATCTAGAATATAAAAACCAAGAGAGAAGTGTAAACTTTGCCCTGATTTTTGATGTCAGGAAATACAAAGCACAGTAACTGAGCAACCAGGGAAATTTTCATTTCCACCATTTTCCATTAACGCTCAGGATACACACAGAGTCAGGGGCTTCATGTGCCCAATGCCAATATTCTGTAATTCTTGTGATCTACCCAGGCAAACAAAACACCTATGGGAAAGTAGTAACATGAGCACAACTGCCACGCAGATGGCTTTTCGCACCATACAGGTATCAATGTTTTCTGGCAAACTGGAGGGGAGCCAAAGAAGCGAGCAGGTTAATCAGGAGACAAACACACTAACTCTCCAGTATATTTGCATCAGCGCACAGCTAACCTCAAAGTGCTTCAGCCCGTCAGACTAACGACCGGCAGGTGTTTGCGAGGGGCTGTGTTCGGTACGCTTTGCCATGCTAGGCTTCATTCATGTGTTGTCTGTTAATTTTGTTTGCCTTTCTCCTTCATTGATAAAGCACACGTCGCCAACAGTGAATATATTCTATGGGTCCCACACCAAGCCTTGCCCTTGCGATCCAGCAAGCACATTGCCAAGCTCACACCTCAGAAGCCAATGCCCTTTCCTATAAAGCAGGTCTCAAGCAGTCTTCTTAAAAGTCTAGACCAACATGCCCTTGGGAGTAAAAGAGAGTTATATATTAAAGGGTGTCATGTCTGAGTCTCCTCACAGAACCACACAGGCAGTATCTATCCTGTGCAGAAGTCTATCCAGGCAAAAGGTTTTCAGAGGATTGGGGCCTATGTTAAAAGACCAACTTAATATCATTCTATAGAAACCGCTCCCTTTGAAAAAGTCTGCTTAGGGGAAAAATAACTGCCATTTCTCTAGCGTCCCACCTTTAAAACAATACAAATTGGAAAGATGCTTCCTTTATACTTCACAGAATCATGTGCAAAATAGAACATAAAATAACAAAATGAATAATTGAAGCTTTTCAGACAGGAAGACACATGCCATTTCTTTTTTTGTTCTGCAGACGAAAGTTGGCAGAGCACAACTAATCTCAGAGCAAAAATACAAATCAAACAAAACTCAATGGATAAAGTGACACAGGGACCTAATGATTTTGTGCACATACAGGAGTCAATGGATGCATCTACACATGCACTTTTCTGCAGAGTTGACTAATTAACTATGCAGTAAAGCATCACAGTCTACATGTGCACCACTATTAAGGCGCAGTAAATTAATTAAATCCGCCGTAGGATAGTACTGTTGAGGACACTAGTATCCTACAGCAGAGTAATTCACTCCACCAAACACACACGTAGATGGTGACAGGGGGTGGCTGGGGCATGTGGGTGCCATAGTGCAGGCATGCCTACCACCTAGCCCTGCACTTTAGCACCTTCATGCCCCAGCCAGCCTCTCTACCACCCAACCTGGAGCCTGGGGCCTCCTGCCAGACCAGGACTGCTCTGCCCCAGCTCAAAGTGCTGCAGTCCCAGAAGCCTGTGCAGACGCTGCGCCCAGAAACAGTTTGCTCCAGCGTAGACCGCACTGGAGTTTATCATGTTCCATTAACTGCATGTGTAGATGCACCCAATGAGAACCACAGTGCCAAAATGAACGTTAGAAACTGGAGGGAAAATGTTCAAAAGCATCTAATGGATTCAGGCACTTGGGTGATCTGGTCTCACTGAATTGTCAATGACAAGGAGATGCTAAAGTCACCTTTGAAAGTGAGATTTAACAACACATGGTAAGAAAGTTACTCCAAGATTCACATGCTTTTATGCAGGTTAAACAAATGGATTTTATTTTAAGAATCTAATAAAAGAAAATATGGAAGAGGAGTTAAATGCCTTAAACCTCTGTTTCTTTGCCAGTTTCTGACAACCTACAGAATAATTTACTGCATTTGGGGGCAGAGGACCTACATATGAGCAGCTGCAAGAACAGACTACCCCGGAAGTCAAAAAAGCTTGCATCTTACCACGGTGGCAAAATGTGCTGAAACATATACGTTCCACCAAGCACACTGTTCATTTTGCTCTTGAGTCAAAGCCAAGCTGAAAATAGAAAGCTGCACAATCAGGCCCCATTCCTGCAGCTTCTCACTTGCTGGCAGTCAGCTGTGCCCATGAACAGTCTCACTGGCTTCAAAATCCATTCAAAGTAGGCATCAAGAGTCTTAATTTTAAGCTATTTTTTGCCAAGTTTCACTACCTCCCCTCTGGTTTCAGGCCCACTTTTCTCCTAGTTTCCATTGCTGTTAACAAAACAGGACTATAAACCATCCCCAACAAATCTGGTCATTTACCTTTGCTGCACTGCCCATGCTCCTTCTGTGGTACCAGAAAAAGTATAGTTCAGGAAAATAGACATCCATGTCAGAGGGTTTCAGGTTAAGGACACAGATGAGTGAACTTGACCAAGAAGGTAAATCATGCCTAGAGCCACACTAGAGCCACTGCCAAACACTTCCATGGAAGAGGCGAGGGTGGAATGGGGACACATCTATCCCAGTGAGCAATGTTGCACCAAACAGATTGGAAAAATCTTTGCTGAGCCCTACAGACATCAATGTAAATCCTGAAGCATGAACTTTGATAGCTAAAGTCCTAGCAGCCAGTAACCAAGAAATGGTTCAAAAGGGCTAATATCCAAGGAAGTGTTATCAAACACTAGTTTTTGTAAGGTGAAAACCTGCAAACAGTTTGCAGTGAACAGTTTTTCCAAACCAAGGAATATTTAGAGGTCAATTATGAGCCACCCATGCAGAAGAATAAGGCTACTACTTTATGTAGCCTTTCCACACGGGGAGTTGCAACCTAGAAGGGAAAGCTGCCATTGCTCATCACTGATCTCCATCCTGCCAGGTGGAGGGGAGTGGACAAGAGCAAAGGGGAGTGGAACAGCAGCAAAAGCAATCCTAGCTCTCTCCCCACTGCAGTGGACAGGGCAACTAAACTGATGGGTCAGAAGAAATGAAGATGCAATAGGGAAAGAGCTGGGACAACTCAATTCTGCTATGGTGCAAGCATCCAGTTTGAACCCTTCTTTACTCCTAGGGCTCCTTACAGCTGACTGCAAGGTACCAAATCCAGCTCTTCTTGGGCTGGACTGAGGCAGAGGAACAGGGATGATTTGACCAATAAAATAAAGTTAGCAGCATAATTTGTCTAATAAAACAATTCTCTCTTGCACTCCTGAAAGCCTTGGGAGAATTCCAGCTAGCCACTGAAACAACTAGCGATGAAAACTGGATGCCAAGAACATGGCTGTCATCTGAACAGTGCCTTAGAGCAGTGGTTCCCAACCTTTTTAGATCGCAGACTGGCAAACCGCAGACCAGAAGTGACTGCGGACCAGCAAACCATGAACTAGCAAATCGCGGACCAGAAGTGACCGGCATACTGCAGACCGGCATACTGGTCCACAGTATGCTGGTCACTTCTGGACTTCTGGTCCGGCAGCCAACCTTCCTGCAAACCAGCAGCCAACCCCTCATGGCCTGGTACTGAACCATGGCCCAGGGGTTGGGAACCTCTGCCTTCGAGAATGCAGTACTATCCACATTATATTAAATAATGGTTAGCTGATAAACAAACAGCTCAGTATGCCTTTTTTTTTAATTATTTTTCTGAATGTGGTATGTCAACAATATTTCCTACTATTAATACAACATAATGGTAATTATACAGAAAATCTGAACAGCACACTGTTTCAGTAGAATTGCTCTAAAAGTCAGTCTAAATTAACGATCTAAACATTGTTCAAAGGATACATATAAAGTGAGAAGTCTTGGAGTATGGCTGGCTTTGACAGTTTGAGATAGGAACTTTTCCAACCTCATCTTCAAATCTGCTGTCCAGGAATCCTTGAAAAGAAAAACAAAAAATGAGAGCTGTTCACCAAGTTATGTCTACCATACACATACATGAGTCATAAACTGCCTTGCATTAGCCAACAGGACTGTGAAAAGTTCTCTCCTGGATGTAATGAAGGCTAGTTTGTCTGTTAGCTTCCTGGAAAATATGCAAAAAAAATTACAAATCAATTCCATGGTAAGTGATTTGTATTTTATGTGCAGACTTGTTTTAAAACAAGACCTTGAAATGTTATGCAATATTTATTTCAACTGTAAATTATTCATGCTATGTAATCTTACTGGACTGAAAGAAACCTCAGAGTAGGCGTACTCTAAACACGCTGCTTCAAGTTGCACAAATGTAAACAGCCAAGTCAACAATGAACCATGAAGAAGAATTTTTCATTCTTACATAATGTACTGTAATAGCAAACTGGTTTTGACAGGGAAAGGTGCAGAAATCACTACAGTCACACTTCACAGTTGATTGAGCTTGGAACGTCTATGTTCTAGCCTCTGTCTATACAGCGTTTTGTCATAGTCCATGCAAAGGTCTAGGTGCTACTTCAGTAAATCAGACTCCCTCATCACTAAAACAGTTTGGATTGAAGGAAAACTGTGAAAAAATGGACTAACGTGAATCAGCTGCTATCTGGAATGCTGTTTATTCTTTGTACCTGTTAGTGGAGTCACCCTCCTCTGAGCAATGGAAAACACAGTAAATCAGGAAGGAAAAATGAAGTCTCTGTATGTTAAGAATTTCTACCGACTACTCAGTTCCTCAGTCTCCACCCTCCATCCACTCTGCTTGCTGCTTGATGAGAAGGTAGCCTGCAGGTGAGAGTAAATCTTCCTGAGATTTACTGCTCTTCTGGGTGTTCAAAGCTGCCCTTACAGTCTGAGTTTCACCATGTCAGAAAGGATACATCATTTAGACTTGGCAGGTTTGCTTATCTGAATTTAAGATAATGCTGCGCTATGGAATATGGTATATCACCCTGGATATCATATGTTCTTACAACCCTTTCTGCCTATTACTTTTTCAATCCAACTAGCACTGTACACTGTATATACAATCAATGTCCAGTATCACAGGATTCTTGAAAACAAAACTCCTGTCCATCTGTAACAAGACTGCTTAATAGGTTTGTAACTCCTTACTGTTTGCTGTTTTCATTCTGTAAACACAACAGTTGCCAAAATGCCAAGGAGGCAACTGAATGGTACAATTCTCACAAGAAACGATCAGTGAAAACAGATTGAGGTCTTGGACTGTGAATAAACTGGGTTGATTTTCCTAGGAAAATATGGAACAAGGGTAATGACGAAGTGAGAGCAAGAAAGTAGTCAGACCCCTTCTCTGAAATCAACCAGCCTGTTTCTCATTATTTACAGAAAGTCTCAAAGGAAGTCATAGCCTGTGCCTATTTTTGGTATTAATTTGCCTTACCAGCTGATAGACAGCTGTCAAATGCACATAGTCTGGCCAAAGCACAAACTAGCACCACAAAATGGCCAGTTTCATTTAGGCATCTTTTCTTAACCATTCACCTGGGCAATTAGGAAGTGAGAAAAGGGTGCTTTCTTAACACTGTTAAGTCAAGAACACGATTACACAGCACTGTAAAATCTCCAAAGTGAAAGAAGTAGAGACAGGGATCAAAACTCCCTGTGAGTTTTAATCACAGCTTCCTGCATTTTCTCATCTCACCTCTGCAAAAAATGGATTGTAGAATCTGAAACACCCCAAGTGAGGGCAAAGGCAAACATACCCAGCTGACAAAAAAATTATTGGGAAAAAACTACGTGAGACACTCAGTAGATGTAGCTATATACTCTCAATAAGGCATTTTTGGAGAGGAAGTGATATGCCGTGTTGCCACAAAGTCATGACTAACATTGGCTGATTGTCTATATAGGGACAGCTACACTCACTGTCAGTGGAGGATTACTTCAAAACTTGATTTTTCCCTCTTCTATCCGCTATCTAAGACTAAGGTTTGTTTCTTAAAATGTGGTTCTAATGGGCTATTTAAAATGTGTCAGGTTTCTCATTCAGCTTTGGGACCCAGAGACAGTGGTTACACTGGGCGACAATCCACAAGGGGCATGGACTATAAAAGAGTGGGGTTGAACTGTAGTGTAATGTTGCCACCTTGTATGCAGGGGCATATGTATTTCAAAGGCACAGAGGACAGTGATCCCTGGTTAAGAACACCAGTCAATAAAATACTTGGGATCTTTCAGGATTTAAGACAACGTAAGCAAGCGTAAGTTGTGTACTGATAGCATGCACATAGTATCTCACCAAAACATATCCTACTATGTCTGGTGAAGGACACAACAGAAAAGCATTACTAGATTACAGTCTCTTCAGCTTCGGTCAGCCTTGTGAGACAAGTCAATGCCAAAAAAATACCTGTGCAAAAGAAATATTTACCTGAAAAAGCTCTTTAAATGACGGATGGACCATGGGATTGGGAACAAAAGGCAAGGCATAGAAGGGGAGGAATTCTGTGGTCTGGCTCAATGCTGCTCCCTTTGTCTCGAGATACATTTTAAAGCGAGAAATCCTTTCATCAAACTCAGCCTTGTCCTAGGAAACAGGTATCGTTTATAAAACAGCTACTGTGAAAGCTGAGTGGCAGCTGCAAGTGGAGGCATAAACACAGGATCAAGTCCCAATTATAAATCCCAGAATAACTGATAGCCAAGCATTGCTTAGTGCTTCCCAGTGGTCAGCTGGAGGAACAGCACTCACCCCAGCAGCGCAAATGCATTTTACTTGTTCTTTGCTCTGAGCAGAAAATATAAAAGGGTTTTTTCCTCATGCTAGAACAGGATGGTGGAGGCCAGGGAAATTAAGGGAGGGCTGTTTACTCTACCAAGCAAATCTGTCCACTTGGAACAGATTTCTGCAAGCAAAGTGCTATACCCAAATTCGGCAAAGGGCTAGGCAGGCACTACTTGATTTTAGATATTTTGTATAAGCCATTTCTTATCCCACAGCAAGTGTAGCATAACTAAAATATATTTATATGGTGCAATGGAAAGAAATCAATAGGTCAATCAATCAGCTTCAGTGGTAGAGGTCCTGGGAATATATTTTTCTGATATTCTGTTTAATAAAATACTTCAAAATAAAATGTCACACTAAGCACAGAAGAGATACTGTTGGATTAAAAATCATGATTTTTTTACAAAACAAACAAATGTTCTCACCTGAGCCACTGATAACTTCAGGATTAATAAAAATCGTTTTAAAATCAAATTCATTTTTAATTATTAATGCTACTTTGTTACACTGTGGAATTTCCTAAGTTTGAATAAGTTAAAAACAACAGGCTATTCAGTTCCATTGAAGAGACGATTGCCCCACTGAGTCAGCGCACTATCTAAATAAGACACACTGCTGGGGAATGTCCATTTGTTTTTCTTTCAGTTGTTTCCCATAGATGTTGATTTTTATCAAAAGCAACCATTACTGATGAAAACCTATTCCAAGCAGCTTTAGAAACAAATGATCTGCAATAGCTCAAAGCAGAATTTCAACTTAGCAAATCCCCGTGTATCCTTTGGAACTTAAAAGCATTTGATGCTTCAACAAAACCAAGGGCCAAGTCAGTAATTTCACCTGCTAACTTCCCAAGGCCAAGTGCTGGCTTCAAGTCCAACTGCAATGCAAGGTATTGTCACTGGAGTGGAACTGACTGGGGTTTTCTGTTCAGCACCCCCCATCCCAGGCTACACTAGCTTGGTAGAGACACGGGTGGTGAAACCAGACAAATTAAAATTAAAAGATGTCCAAACTGAATAGCAAACCTACCGGCTTTCCCACCGAATGCTTCAAGAGGTAGATGGCAAAGTGTATGTGAAGGTAAAACTCCAGCTTCTGGACAAGCGGTTCGTTGTCCCGGATTGAAGATGAGATATGCTCCTCCCAGAGCTCAAAGAAAACTTTCTGATCACCATCTTCAAATGCTATGAGCAGATCCTTCTGCAAAAGAGAACAGAAATCACTTGGGTACCAAAGGGGAAAGCTCTCAAAAGAACCTCGGTGATTTAAAAGCCAAAGTTTCATTTTCAAGGCACTTAAGTCACAGAGGTGCTTTTGAAAATGTCACCATTTCACCATCTCCCAAAACAATTACGTTAACCATAATCAAGTGCACAGTAACCCACAGACATTGTGCCTAAGTACAAACAGTCAAAAAGCCAGAGGCTGAATTGATTCAATCTTCACAGGTTAGTTTAGGCTGTGTAGGTTGAACCAAAAAGAAAGTGAACAGACATTCACTTTTGATTCCCAAAATGCAGCCACATGCCTGCAGTGGCCCAGGCCAGAAGCCAGGGGGTGCTAGAGCATGCCTCCCTGCTCAGCTGGAGCAGACAGCTTGGGCCAAGGTTAGCCCACCCACCCTGTGAGGGGAGGTTGCAGGGAAACAAAGCATCCTGGGATGCTGGGGGACTGTGAGTTAATTTGAATCTGGAGGGGATCTGGGACAGAAGATTAATAAACTGATTTAATGTGAATCAGTTAAGTCTGATGTTACACCCATCCAGGTTTACCTTAAACTGGTTTTGGCCATTTTGAAAGTGGTTTCTGTGCACTGAACTTCTGTTGTGTTACAGACCGGTTTCCGATCACTCATACCGGTTTACGTGTAATTTCTGTCCCTAGCCTTTAGGTCTGCAGGAAATTCCATACCCAAGCTCATGTCCTCTGACCACAACTACAAATTTTCCTCTGCTCATCAGCCAGCATCAAGTAGCTGTGCTCAGAGCACAAATACAAAGCGGTTGTGAAGCCCCACTTCAATATACCTTTGCCCTTGTGACTTCAACCAATCAGAAGAATGCCTGCATGTTATTAAATTTATCTCACCCACAAATAAGGCTCAATTTATTAACACTGATTGCTTTGGCTTCCCCTCCATTTTTGTAGCTTCTTCTTTGGGGATGTGTTTCTTAATATCAACTTCCCTCTGCATTTTTAAAGCACCAAACCAGAAATGTACCCAGCCTAGGACACATTCTGATCCTTGTTTTTCAGTCTGCTTGCGCACATCTTTGCAAACAGCCCCTGGCTGGATGGCCGCTTTCTACTACTAAGCATTCCCTGAAGAAATAAGCATTTTCTGAAGAAAACAGCCTTCTAATTTTCACGTTGATTGATCTTACCTTAGACTTCTATCACACTCAGAACAGCCTGAGACCTCGGGAGTCATCCTTGATTCCAAAATCCCTATTATCCACTGCCAATCATGTAAAACCAGACATAGTATTTCAAAGTGTCCAACCAATTAAGATTAAAAATGTGAATGCACCCTTACTGCCCTTATAAGCTTTGCAGACTACAGGACCATCAGGTTGCAGAAGGTTGGATGCCTCAAGTTCAGGTAACCTACTTGATTCAGCTTATGAACTTTATCGGGTGGTCTGATTTTATAAAGGCAGTTGCTCACCACCTTTCAAAACACCAGCTCTTTTCATGGAGCTCCAAGCTGGAAATATAAAAATTGAGGCAACCAAAAAGACCAAAATGTATAGTTTGGGTTCTGTGGGACTCAAGTTACTGGGAGAGTAAATTTGAACTGAGGGCCCTTCATTGAAAATCATCTATTCCCAGCTTCCTCTCACAACTCAAAATTAGCTCAAGCATTTAAAATGTTGAGATCATCAGCTGTAAAAAAACACCAGAGGTCTCTAATGTTCTGATGATTACCTAATTAAACCAAATGTAAGGATTTGTTACCTGGATGATCAAAGCTTTTGAGTCTCTCAAGGAACCTCCAACTTTTTTTGGTAATGGCTTCCCTTTTACTTTACATTCCTTTGTAAATATTTTCACCGTTTCTTCAAACTCTGCAAAATCCAAGTACTGCAACACAAGAACACACAGATAATACTCTTATCTAATAAATGCTTAAAATACTGACTGATGAGTTGCCAGAATGATTTGAAGCCTTCCTATAGTCAGTTGCTTCATTTAAGCCAGAAAGAAAGACCAAGAAATGCAGTAACTTGGTGCAAGAGACAGGCTAGTAACTTGTAAGTGATGCTCTCTGAAGGTAGCATCAGCTGCAGGTCACTTCAGATTGTCCTGATACTGGAGATCACAAATACTGAAGTGAATTTTTAAAATGGGCGAGATAAGTAAGTATCATTCATCATATCTGAAGCTACGAAACTGAACTTAAGGGTGGAGGTAATCCAACCTCATCCCTTAGGGCAAAAGCTGGAAAGGTCAGGAAAGATTTCTCCCTCTTCCATCTAAAATATACAAAATTGGCTGCAAAGTCAATGAGTACTCCAAATTAAGCATGTAGCTAACCCCCTGTAGGATCCAGGCTCTGGGGGAGAAAATTACAAACCGGGCACATTCACTTTCTAATTCTAGTGTTTGGGTTCACTGCCTAACACTGCAGTGAAAGATTTAAGTCCATGTTTTTATCTGTTTACTTTTTCACATCTAATAAATGCCGGTCTGTTTGCACTGGGCTTTGTAAAAACTTAGCAAACAAAACATTCTGGCTAGATGCACAACCAGAGGTTGACGTTACAATACTCAGCAGGAGGCACCTAACTTTTAGATGCCCTGCTGTGCAGTGGAACCCCAGCCTAAATTGCAACATATGGGGAGAGGGATGCCCCAAAAATGGGGTTCACAGAAGCTAATGTACTAAGGACAAGCTGCCTAAGATTGCCAATAGGATGTGATAAGGAGGGGGCAGGACCTAAGCCCTGCCACTCAAAGGTAGTTATGCACCTAACTTTGGGATGGAGAAAGATGCTGGTATCCACTCAGCATTCCCAGCCATGAACCCCATTTTAGAAGGAAGCAGATATCTACAGCCATGTTGGCCTTTTCTTGCAAAAAGAAAACAAAGAGAAAATTTTTATAGCCAAAAATCCAGTAATTAGGGCACTGCCTGAAGTAGGACCCCTGTCTGCAAACACTGGGTACACACTGGGAAGGGCATGGGGGCACGTCCCAGATTTCTGCACTGGCAGCAGGGCTGCAGCCTGACCAGAGTCAGGACCCAGAGGCAGTGGAGGTGGCACTGCTCAGCCAGTCTGGCTTATGGCTGCTTCCCGGCCATGTTAAACCTCCATCCTTTCCCTGCTGTAAATCAGGTTGCTGAGGCTGAAGCCGCCCAGCAGCAGCTGCACCAGCCCATACCAGGTTGGAGGTTTAACATGGCAGGGCCCTGGCAGCTGGCTTCTGCAGCCATGGAGCAAGAGCCAGGGGTGCTTTGTCTTCCATGACTGAGCTCTGCTAGGAGCAGCCTGGCGAAGCCGTGGGTCGCAGTGCTCATGTTGCATGAGAAGTGGGAGAAGCAGGCCCCTGTACAGGCAGGAAGCACAGGCCTCACTGCTAGGGACACCCCACACCCCACAGGCAGGAAGGAAACCCCGTTGGTCCCAGTGAGGTAAGGAGAGGAGCTGATGACCGCTCCATTGATCCAGAAGGGTTGGTTAGGGGGGCCATACTCACCCAGCCCATAGCCCACAGGGGCCATGGCTGGGAGCTGCAGGTGGGGACATGAGCTCCGCTGGTACGGGCTCAGGTTATCACAGTACATGGCCGCATCCAGAAGGTCCTAAACATGGGGGTGCAAGAGAGGGGCTGGTGGGGGATGAGTAGGCAGCAGCTGCCCAAAAGTGTTCTTCATAACCAGGCCCCTGTGAGCCATGCCATCTACAAGGCCAGAGTATGGGTCACTGGCACCAGGCGTCTCAACCCACTGAGTTCCCAGGCACCATCAGGACCAGCATTTAAGTCCTAGCCGAAGTAGGCACAGACTGCGGACCACCTCAACCCAGGGAGTGGGGTGGCGGCGGCGATGCAATTTCTGTGCCAAAGGCAGGGCATGGGGGTTGCAGTCTGGCCAGACACAATGCTGAGCAAGGGAGCTGTGCCCCCAGCATTGCAACAGCGCCACAGAGTTGTGCCCCGCTACTGTCAGCACTAATGCATTGTTTATGTTTGCAAATCTCCTCTCTGTCCAGTTTGGAGCTAGGTCTTGAACCCAGGTCTCTCACTACCCAGAATGGCCATTTTAGGGTAATTCCGTCTGAACGTCTCCTCAGAAGCTGTTCAGCTTTGTATAATTAAATATTAATTAGAGCACCAACATGAACCTGATTCTCCAAAAATCTAAGCAACTACTGGATTCTATAATCAATCTCTCACTTTCCTTCTCTAACCTAATAGAGGAGACTGAGGTATATTCACCCCAAAATAAGTGACAGCCAGATGGCTAGGGCACTAACTTAGGATGAGAGACTTCAAGTTCTTGCTCCAAATCAGGCTGTCTGAAGATTTGAAAACAAGCCCCCACCTTCAAGATAAGTGCCCTATAACCACTAGACATTGTCTGGAGTGGATGCTGAAGGGAAAGACATTTCTCCTTTACTCCCCCAACCCAAGAAGTCTCACCCCCAACTATCTTTTGAGTGAGTCCTGATGCAGCAGGATATTCTGAGAATGCCTGCTAGGCTGGATAAGATCAGTGGAGGAACTCCTAAGCTGGAGAAGCCTGCCAGGGTTGTCACTATGCAGACTGGTGGTATCAGGACTTAGTTTTGCCCATGTGGTCCAGCAGAAAACTATATATAAAATGAAGTGTAGGCCTGTTTGTCTGTATTTATGTTCATTTATAACTTGAGAATGGCTGGTCCTATCTACTCTATCTTCCAAAATCATTGAATACCACTCAAAGAAAATTATAGGTGGGTTATTTTTCACTTGACCTTTTTGGGGGCTTCCATTGACTGGGATCACTTTGCTTCTCAGATAAACTGGTGCCACTCCATTTTGGATGCAGTGAATTCAGTTCAATTGTCATTACTATATTGATGCTTGCCCTTTTTTTCCAACTCAATTGTCATTACTATATTGACACTTGCCCTTTTTTTCCAGCTCAACGATCATTGCTATATTGACACTTGCCTTTTTTTTGCTCCACATTAAATGTTGTGCTATGTTAACAATAAACAATATTTTTGACCTAAATATGTTGTACTAAGTTCTCTGAAAATAAACAAACATTACAATTACAAAAATAACAACCCGGGCAAAGAACTGCTAGTGCCAATTTATAGGAGATTTCAGGCTGAATGAGGAGATAGTTGAACAGAACTTCTGAGATCTCAGCAGCATCTAAATGTCAGACTTGGGTGTCTCTGATCCTTTGGGAATCTAACCCTTGAGATCAAACATCTCCTGATGGGTGTTCCTGTGAATAAAGCCCTAGTTTTACAAAGGTGTTACCAACCGGCAGTGATATTCTGATGCCAGCCTTTACTGCTGGTATCCTCTGCCTATGGCACCTTTGGCAAGCACACCGCCTGCCAAAGCAGTCAATGGGGGTTCAGGCAGCTGGAAACCCCTGTCCACATTTTACCCCACAGATTGGTATGGACTGGAGGAGGGGAGAGGGGTTGCCTTTCTCTGTAGCAGGGGGGCATGGCCCTATACCCGGGATCTCTTGAGCATATACTGACAACGTTTCATAGAAGCAGGACGCTGGCTCCCATGATTCTCCTGCTTTACCTGTGGCAGGTTAGGGTGTTAGGTCTGTGTTGTGTCAGTCTTGCACAAAGTTTAAAGTATGGTTTGTCTAGGCTGGTTTGCACAGGGCTGATCCTGCCTTAGGCAGGGGTTGGACTAGATGTCACCCCTGAGCTCCCTTCCAGCCCTTCTCCATGATTCTCTGATTTTATAACAGCAGGAAAACCAGAGCTGCAAAAAATCACCCCACACCCTCTTCCTAAATGCAAATACCAGCCAATGTCTTTCCCCTTTCACAGGGAACACTGACCTCTTTCACCAGCCCAAGTAACTCAGCTTCATAGGCTAGGATGTCCCCCATGATGACAAGCTACTGTCCCATCTCATTGCAGAGACCTAGAAAATCACCAAAACATGAAGAGTTGTTAGGTGGCTCCATGATACAATTAACTCTCAGACCACCCTGCTCTGTCCTTCATACCCCAGCGTGTCCTAACTCCAGTAACGTTCCCCACAGAAGCTCTACAAACGTACGTCCCTTGTACAAAGTATTTTGACACCACCACATTGGAGGACAAATCACAAGCGTGTCCAGAGCCCAGATGACTCCCGTTGATCTTCTTCCAGGGGATCTATTGGGGATCTTCTTCTTATAGATGTGCCTGGGTGCGTTCCTGAGGAGTGTGGGCTGCCGCCTCCCTCGGAGGCTTTCACATCAGGGCAGCTTGGTGTCAAAACTGGATGTTTCTGCCCATGCAGCAACCGGAGCCCAAAAGGCGCTCTCTCTGCTCGGACAAGAGGGGTGCGCATGGGCACACGGCTGCTCTCCCACCATGCAGGCGTGGATTCTGTCGGCTCCTGCTGTCACGGGGGAACGGACGGCTGGTCGGTGTGGTGACCTGTGCAGACAGTGGCTTGTCCCTGCGTCTGCTGTGGCGGCCTGGCCACCGGAGCAGGGTCGTGGTCCTGGTCGTGCTGGTCCTCACTGGCGCCAGGCACTGCCACCTCTACTCTGAGACCAGGGTGCAGATGCTGCCAGTGCCCATGGCCCTGTGCAGCACGTGGCCCTGGAGCAGGCCCATCTGCATGGGGGGATGGGCAGGTCCCATCTCCCCATGGGGGGATGAGGGTCCCCCCATCCCGCCCTTCTCCTCCCAATGGCACACTCACCCCTCCAGCGTCACACCCGCCAAGCGCATGCCCCGCCCCGTCACACCCCCAGAGCACTTCAGCTTGCCCTTCCTCTAACCCCATTCTGCTGGCAGAGGATGTGTAGTGCTCCTTGACATAGATTGCCACCCCCCCTCCTTTCCTACCTTCTCT